CTTAATTCAAGACGTGTTATGTCATTTATACTTAAATAAAGTTAATTTTGGAACGTTTTAGCGCTGTTTTGGGAGACAAAAACATCAAATAACCAAAAAAATTCTGCAACAGAAAACAGAAAAGTTTTTATTTATATTTTATTTTCATTTTATTTTTATTTGTTTTTGTTTTTGAGTCATTTTTTCTACAGAAACGGTTTCCAATTGTATAATTTGACTATGACTGTCGAATATACCTAATTTCTATTTTTTCTGTCAGATTTTACTATCACCCCATACAGAAAAAAAACACTAATTTGAAAAATATATATATATTTTTTAAAGAGTTGGAACATTCTCTGCTACATGCACAGTAACTGGCTAGCCTTGTTCTTATTTGGATTTTGGGTTGCATTTTCCATTTTCCGTTCTGGTGTTATCAATAGCTACAGAATTTCTAGTGGCTCTATCGGTGCCACTATTTATCAGTTTTATGAGGCGAGCAGGTTTGAAAACACAAAATGCATTTACTACACTTGAAGTTTTAAGAAAAACCAAGCGATGATTAACGAGAAAATAAATTTGCCTGGTACAAAATATCTGGTCTTTAAAAAACGTCTCAAAGCAGGGCCAAAATTTTGCAATATAAAAACCTTGCGTCTAAAATTTACAAAGTTTTAAGTACCTGATTAAGTGCAATTATTGAAGACTTTCCACTCCCCTATCCCACCTGCAATTTTTTAAAAGTAAGTTTTTGCTCGCATTATCTGATTGTTATGAAAAAGGCATGCGGACTATTTTGGTCATGAAAAACTTATTTAGTCGTCATATTTATTCAAACCAGAAAAATGATGATATGTGAAAAGGATTTTTTGTAAACCGAAAACTACGGGGTTTTCTAAACTTCGGTCAGAGTGATTTCCATTACAACGGAAAATTGAAAAATAATCACTGGAGTACAAAATTCAAACATACAAATTTTTGCAATTTCGATTAAATTTATGTTTGAAATTAGCCTCATCAAAAATCATGGAAATATTGAAGTGTCATTTTTTCACTCAGATGTCAGACATTCTGGACTAATTCTATTTGTTTGAATACGTTTTCCGGTAAGCTCTACATCGAGAATCAGAGACCATGCGACACGAAAAAACAACAGAAAAGTTTTAACAAATAGTAAATTGAAGAAAAACAGAAAGAAAGATGTAAGAATAAATATAAAGCAGTACACGATGATAGATTAATAAAAATAACGAAACTTTTTAATTAAATTTTTTCTGCTGTTTTGGTTCCAAAGATTTAGCAGTGAAGGAGTTCATCATGACATAACCGTTCATTTCATTTGACACAACTGAACCACTAAATTGCTTTCAAAAATTCAGTTCCTTTTTCTGGCCTCCACTAAAGTGCAAGAAAAGTCCTTTTAAATTTTTTCTTGTTGAAATTAATAACTATTCTCCAAAAGCAAGGCATTTTGATTAAACAGCTTTTCAGAAAACTTGATTAGCGAAAATACACTTTGTGATTGAATACAATCCACAAGTAGTTTTACGCTTTCCTATAAAGAATTCTAGCAAAACATTTACATTAAAATGGTTCTTTTCTCATATCTCGGTGTTTTTGAATGCTGAGTTTTTTGAAGGAACCCTAGGTGTTTGTGTCTGGGCGCTCGTCCTTCTTTATGTTAGGAGACCGGAGTTTTTTGAGAGTCTGTCTAGTCACCTTGAACTCGCAGCGAAATGTTAGATGGCTCAGTTTCCTCAAACTTGAGAACCGCTAAGAGTTAACTAACCCAGTTTTTTGGTTTGGTCCTGTTTTCACTGTAGCTCTTCTTGGGTGACAGTGTGCTGGTTATAAAAAGTTTTCTTAGCTTTATTGTTAAGAAGAGTTTTGGTAAAATTGATGCCCTCTGGTGTTCTGGTGTAATTTGGCGAGGTATAGTTTAAGTTGTAGTTTAAGAAATGGCGTTGTGGATGGGCTTCTGATAGGTGGGTTTTCTTTATTGGTATTCTGGCCCTACAATCCAAACTTCATCATTTTTTCGCAATAGCTACAGAATTTTGTATCTCTAACCAAAGATCAGCCGGAAACTTTCCTTCAGTAATTGCAAGCTGTTAATTCTAAACCACACTTGCATTTCAGTGTTCGCTAAGCTTGTACCCTCTACAACATAGATTTTTTCAAAAAACAAAATTATGGTAATTTTGTCTTCAAAAAAATCAAATGATGAGTTAGTTGCTGTTAGAAAAATTAGGAGATTTAAACAAGTTGCGCCTAGATACACTTAAAAGACTCAGTTTGAGTTTGTTGAGTTTTTGCGATAAATATGCCAGCAAAGGCAAGCAATTTGCGAACCAATTTAAACCAAAATTTTGTCATTTGTATCTCAGAATCTGATAATTTAAATGCGTCTGTTCACGAACAGTTTTTGCAGTTTCATTTTACAGTCTTCTATAAATGGTCATGCTCATTATCAATTCAGGATTTTTGGCGAGTAGTTTTAACCTGTCAAAGAAAACTTGTTTGGTAGAAAAACATCTAAAAGCTCCAACAAACAAGCTTCAGAAGAAAATTTTTTTTTGAAGAAAAAAAAAGAAACCTATCGACAAAGACTTAAGCAACGGATATGTTGTAAGCAGGAAATCAACTGGATACTGCAATCAGGGTCAGGTCACAGCCTCAAATCGCAAGACAAATGAAGCAAACAGGGCAACTTTTGCCTGGTATCCAATGCTTCTTGTGTTTTTTTTGCCAGTCCTTGAAGTAGGAAATCTTTGATACCTGTGATACAATCATGAACACACAAGTCACTTTTTTGAAACTATAGACACTCCATGTATTCCGTGCTATGCATTACACATGCTCACGAACCACAGTCCACAACTTTAACTGTTTCAATTTATAGTCTCGTACTTATGGTCGTGCCCATGGATCAATTCAGGTTTGGGTTACGCGGAGTTTTGACCTGTCAAGTAAACTTTGGCTCTAGAAAAACAGCAAAAAGCTCTCAACAACAAGTTTCAGAAGAATGTTACTATGAAGAAAAAAAAATTGAAAAACACTGACAAATACTTCAGCAAAAAATATTTTGTTAACAATAAATCAAGGATCGACACTGCAACCAATGTCTCGTAACCGCCTCACCATCCCATGACAAATGAAATTGAACCAGTTAAAGTTTGCTGAGTGTCTAATGCTTTTTGTGTTTTTCTTGGACAGTCCTTGAAGTCAGATGCCTATGACACCTGCGGTAGAATCAGGAAAACTTGAGGTCCAAAACTTGAGGTCACTTTTTCCAAAGAACACACTCTTCACGTATTCCGTGCTATGCATTACTTCGTTGCGCAGTTGACAATGAAAAAAAAATTGGGCATGTCAAAAATTTCGTTGAAAGTAATATGCACATGGACGATTTATAGATTTCGACAAAAAAAATCACCATGGCGGATGTTCAAAGTTCCTCTCCCTCGGAGGGTATCTTTGCTCAAAGCGCATCTCAAATGATTGTTTTCTTGCCAGAAAAGTTTGATTGAGCGCTATTTGTGAACCCTAAAGAACTGAAAACCGCGCAGCAGCATATTAAATCTTTGTCATCCATAGAAGCCTATTACAGACATTCATAAAAGTGACATTTATTACAGACATTTGTATATGGAAACTGTTCCATAAGTTTCATCCTGGAACAAAAAGAAAAAAAAGTTTCACCCAAATTGCAGCAAAGGCCTCAAATGGGACAAAGTAATCAAATTCTTTTAGTTTTTAAAATTCAGGATTTTTTAAAATGAAAACCAATATTGAATCCCTTCCCGTGCCTCCCAACCCAATCAACGGAGACCAAACAAGGTCCAGAGATCACCACGTCCTTACAGAGGCATCAGAATTTGCACATGCAGCAGAAGCTTTTCTCACAGGATAGCCGACAGCGAAAAACCTTTGCGGTAAAATTTCTAATGGGTGAGACAGGAGGATTCGCCCCAATAGAGCGCATGACCATACCTGATGCAAAACTGCAAGCGACTGTTTACGAAGAAGAGATGGATCATTTCATCGTTGAAGAGTCGGATTACTAAATATGCCGTCAAAAACTTGCAGTCAAATGATGTCCTCTGGCTGCTAGAAGATCTTACACCACGAGGTTTTTGTCTCGTTAAAATTCTCAACTTGATACCAGACAGCGACGGAATATTCAGATCTGCGACTTTTCAAAAACGCCTTGGGGTAAAAAGTACGGCCAATAAACAAACTGTCCAAAATTCACCTGATGATTGATTTTCATTGAGTTCATAAATTATTTCGTACTATCCATTGTGTTTGTTTGGTATTTTTTGCAAATTATTCCGGTAACATAATTTCCTTCCTTTTTTTATACAGCAATTAACAGTTTTTTCCAGCCTTGTCTACTAATATACTAACCAACTCGAGCACACACTTCTTTTATTTGCGCCACTCGCAAAATGATCTGATGTTTTGTTGTATCTAAAAGTCCCATGTCCAAAAATCGCAAGCAAAAGACTTGATTGTACCTCAAAAATTTCCAATACGTGTTTCTTTTTAGTGTACTGTTACTCCGCTTTGTCCATGGTTACTTGTCAACCCATTTGAAATGGTTCCTGATTTTTCGGTTGGTCTCTGCAGCTTGAAAAGCCATTCACTTTGTCTCGAGGCCCTTCGTCGTTTCGTGTGAGTAATTTTCGTGTGGGTAATTTGAAAAGAGCAATTCAAGTCTACTCCAACAGGGCACAGCATCATGATACAAAGAGTAAATGATAGTTTACCGATGACCTTTAATTAATATAAGTAAATCTGTTCATTTAAACTGTCAAATTGTTCCAAGCAAATGTTCATCCGAGACCCAAATTAACAAAAAAACTTCTTATAAAATGCTTACTGAGTTAAAATTGCTTGTGATTCTTGAAATCTTTTTATTTTGATGCTGTGCAAACATTTAGCGTCGCCTGAAGCGATTATCGAACCTAACCCTTGTCGAATGGGTGAAGGCAGCTGACCGAAAGATTGTATTAGAGCGAGGGTTCTTTGCCCGAGTTAGAAACATAGTCTGGTCTGAAGTGGAATGTGGTGCGTCGATTGTCGGCCTAGAATGGGTTCTGACGTCAGCTACTTGCGCTCAATTGGTCACTCGAGGAAGTAGTTAGTGCAATATAGTTCTTAGACGAATCTAGCAAAACGCCACCTCCAACAAACGCTCAAGAAAACGACATTTTTTTAAAGAAAAAAAAACAAACTAAAAACTTTTTATTGAACATGCGGTCGGAACAGTTTGGAAAAAGTGGAGGAACTTTGTGTTAGGGTGAGCTTAAGTTTTTTTCTTTTGTTTTCTTTTTGCTTTGCACGCAAAATCAAGTTAAGGGTTTAGTTGTATATTATATTGAAGCCCTTTTAGGCGTGATTCGACCGATTTGTAAAACAATAGTAATATTTTTTCTCAGTTTCGAGATAAACTGAATTGAAAATTTTGATTTTTGGTCTAGATTCGACCTAATAGGGTTGCCACAATAAGATTTGCAGGCTTGCAATAGCTAATTTAAGCTTAATTCAAGACGTGTTATGTCATTTATACTCAAATAAAGTTAATTTTTGAACGTTTTAGCGCTGTTTTGGGAGACAAAAACATCAAATAATCAAAAAAATTCTGCAACAGAAAACAGAAAATTTTTTATTTATATTTTATTTTCATTTTATTTTTATTTGTTTTTGTTTTTGAGTCATTCTTTTCTACAGAAACGGTTTCCAATTGTATAATTTGATTATGACTGTCGAATATACCTAATTTCTATTTTTTCTGTCAGATTTTACTATCACCCCATACAGAAAAAAAACACTAATTTGAAAAATATATATATATATATATTTTTTAAAGAGTTGGAACATTCTCTGCTACATGCACAGTAACTGGCTAGCCTTGTTCTTATTTGGATTTTGGGTTGCATTTTCCATTTTGACCTACCAAGCCCTAATTTTTCTAGTGGCTCTATCGGTGCCACTATTTATCAGTTTTATGAGGCGAGCAGGTTTGAAAACACAAAATGCATTTACTACACTTGAAGTTTTAAGAAAAACCAAGCGATGATTAACGAGAAAATAAATTTGCCTGGTACAAAACGCCTGGTCTTTAAAAAACGTCAGCAGGGCCAAAATTTTGCAATATAAAAACCTTGCGTCTAAAATTTACAAAGTTTAAAGTACCTGATTAAGTGCAATTATTGAAGACTTTCCACTCCCCTATCCCACCTGCAATTTTTTAAAAGTAAGTTTTTGCTCGCATTATCTGATTGTTATGAAAAAGGCATGCGGACTATTTTGGTCATGAAAAACTTATTTGGTCGTCATATTTATTCAAACCAGAAAAATGATGATATGTGAAAAGGATTTTTTGTAAACCGAAAACTACGAGGATTTCTAAACTTCGGTCAGAGTGATTTCCATTACAACGGAAAATTGAAAAATAATCACTGGAGTACAAAATTCAAACATAGAAATTTTTGCAATTTTGATTAAATTTATGTTTGAAATTAGCCTCATCAAAAATCATGGAAATATTGAAGTGTCATTTTTTCACTCAGATGTCAGACATTCTGGACTAATTCTATTTGTTTGAATACGTTTTCCGGTAAGCTCTACATCGAGAATCAGAGGCCATGCGACACGAAAAAACAACAGAAAAGTTTGAACAAATAGTAAATTGAAGAAAAACAGAAAGAAAGATGTAAGAATAAATATAAAGCAGTACACGATGATAGATTAATAAAAATAACGAAATTTTTTAATTAAATTTTTTCTGCAGTTTTGGTTCCAAAGATTTAGCAGTGAAGGAGTTCATCATGACATAACCGTTCATTTCATTTGACACAACTGAACCACTAAATAGCTTTCAAAAATTCAGTTCCTTTTTCTGGCCTCCACTAAAGTGCAAGAAAAGTCCTTTTAAATTTTTTCTTGTTGAAATTAATAACTATTCTCCAAAAGCAAGGCATTTTGATTAAACAGCTTTGCAGAAAACTTGATTAGCGAAAATACACTTTGTGATTGAATACAATCCACAAGTAGTTTTACGCTTTCCTATAAAGAATTCTAGCAAAACATTTACATTAAAATGGTTCTTTTCTCATATCTTGGTGTTTTTGAACGCTGAGTTTTTTGAAGGAACCCTAGGTGTTTGTGTCTGGACGCTCGTCCTTCTTTATGTTAGGAGACCGGAGTTTTTTGAGAGTCTGTCTAGTCACCTTGAACTCGCAGCGAAATGTTAGATGGCTCAGTTTCCTCAAACTTGAGAACCGCTAAGAGTTAACTAACCCAGTTTTTTGGTTTGGTCCTGTTTTCACTGTAGCTCTTCTTGGGTGACAGTGTGCTGGTTATAAAAAGTTTTCTTAGCTTTGTTGTTAAGAAGAGTTCTGGTAAAATTGATGCCCTCTGGTGTTCTGGTGTAATTTGGCGAGGTATAGTTTAAATTGTAGTTTAAGAAATGGCGTTGTGGATGGGCTTCTGATAGGTGGGTTTTCTTTATTGGTATTCTGGCCCTACAATCCAAACTTCATCATTTTTTCGCAATAGCTACAGAATTTTGTATCTCTAACCAAAGATCAGCCGGAAACTTTCCTTCAGTAATTGCAAGCTGTTAATTCTAAACCACACTTGCATTTCAGTGTTCGCTAAGCTTGTACCCTCTACAACATAGATTTTTTCAAAAAACAAAATTATGGTAATTTTGTCTTCAAAAAAATCAAATGATGAGTTAGTTGCTGTTAGAAAAATTAGGAGATTTAAACAAGTTGCGCCTAGATACACTTAAAAGACTCAGTTTGAGTTTGTTGAGTTTTTGCGATAAATATGCCAGCAAAGGCAAGCAATTTGCGAACCAATTTAAACCAAAATTTTGTCATTTGTATCTCAGAATCTGATAATTTAAATGCGTCTGTTCACGAACAGTTTTTGCAGTTTCATTTTACAGTCTTCTATAAATGGTCATGCTCATTATCAATTCAGGATTTTTGGCGAGTAGTTTTAACCTGTCAAAGAAAACTTGTTTGGTAGAAAAACATCTAAAAGCTCCAACAAACAAGCTTCAGAAGAAAATTTTTTTTTGAAGAAGAAAAAAGAAACCTATCGACAAAGACTTAAGCAACGGATATGTTGTAAGCAGGAAATCAACTGGATACTGCAATCAGGGTCAGGTCACAGCCTCAAATCGCAAGACAAATGAAGCAAACAGGGCAACTTTTGCCTGGTATCCAATGCTTCTTGTGTTTTTTTTGCCAGTCCTTGAAGTAGGAAATCTTTGATACCTGTGATACAATCATGAACACACAAGTCACTTTTTTGAAACTATAGACACTCCATGTATTCCGTGCTATGCATTACACATGCTCACGAACCACAGTCCACAACTTTAACTGTTTCAATTTATAGTCTCGTACTTATGGTCGTGCCCATGGATCAATTCAGGTTTGGGTTACGCGGAGTTTTGACCTGTTAAATAAACTTTGGCTCGCAGAAAAACAGCAAAAAGCTCTCAACAACAAGTTTCAGAAGAATGTTACTTAGAAGAAAAAAAAATTGAAAAACACTGACAAATACTTCAGCAAAAAATATTTTGTTAACAATAAATCAAGGATCGACACTGCAACCAATGTCTCGTAACCGCCTCACCATCCCATGACAAATGAAATTGAACCAGTTAAAGTTTGCTGAGTGTCTAATGCTTTTTGTGTTTTTCTTGGACAGTCCTTGAAGTCAGATGCCTATGACACCTGCGGTAGAATCAGGAAAACTTGAGGTCCAAAACTTGAGGTCACTTTTTCCACAGAACACACTCTTCACGTATTCCGTGCTATGCATTACTTCGTTGCGCAGTTGACAATGAAAAAAAAATTGGGCATGTCAAAAATTTCGTTGAATGTAATATGCACATGGACGATTTATAGATTTCGACAAAAAAAAAACCACCATGGCGGATGTTCAAAGTTCCTCTCCCTCGGAGGGTATCTTTGCTCAAAGCGCATCTCAAATGATTGTTTTCTTGCCAGAAAAGTTTGATTGAGCGCTATTTGTGAACCCTAAAGAACTGAAAAGCGCGCAGCAGCATATTAAATCTTTGGCATCCATAGAAGCCTATTACAGACATTCATAAAAGTGACATTTATTACAAACATTTGTATATGGAAACTGTTCCATAAGTTTCATCCTGGAAGAAAAAGAAAAAAAAGTTTCACCCAAATTGCAGCAAAGGCCTCAAATGGGACAAAGTAATCAAATTCTTTTAGTTTTTAAAATTCAGGATTTTTTAAAATGAAAACCAATATTGTGTTTTTACTTTTGAATCAAATATAAGAACACATCATTCGCGTTCTGTTGTTTTCTCACCTTGGTCTTTGGAAAAGTTGAAACATAAAATTTGAAAATTTTAAACATAGTTTCAATCCAGAAAACTATTCTAAAGAAAATTTTGTTGAAACACTGACAGAGATGTCGTGTTTCAGCATGCCTCCCAACCCAATCAACGGAGACCAAACAAGGTCCAGAGATCACCACGTCCTTACAGAGGCATCAGAATTTGCACATGCAGCAGAAGCTTTTCTCACAGGATAGCCGACAGCGAAAAACCTTTGCGGTAAAATTTCTAATGGGTGAGGCAGGATTCGCCCCAATAGAGCGCATGACCATACCTGATGCAAAACTGCAAGCGACTGTTTACGAAGAAGAGATGGATCATTTCATCGTTGAAGAGTCGGATTACTAAATATGCCGTCAAAAACTTGCAGTCAAATGATGTCCTCTGGCTGCAAGAAGATGTTACACCACGAGGTTTTTGTCTCGTTAAAATTCTCAACTTGATACCAGACAGCGACGGAATCTTCAGATCTGCGACTTTTCAAAAACGCCTTGGGGTAAAAAGTACGGCCAATAAACAAACTGTCCAAAATTCACCTGATGATTGATTTTCATTGAGTTCATAAATTATTTCGTACTATCTATTGTGTTTGTTTGGTATTTTTTACAAATTATTCCGGTAACATAATTTCCTTCATTTTTTTATACAGCAATTAACAGTTTTTTCCAGCCTTGTCTACTAATATACTAACCAACTCGAGCACACACTTCTTTTTTTTGCTGCACTCGCAAAATGATCTGATGTTTTGTTGTATCTAAAAGTCCCTTGTCCAAAAAACGCAAGCAAAAGACTTGATTGTACCTCAAAAATTTCCAATACGTGTTTCTTTTTAGTGTACTGTTACTCCGCTTTGTCCATGGTTACTTGTCAACCCAGTTGAAATGGTTCCTGATTTTTCGGTTGGTCTCTGCAGCTTGAAAAGCCATTCACTTTGTCTCAAATTTGTATGTTGAGCACTTTAACTGTCGTCGTGGTGAACAAAGATAACCTGATCACTTAAGACGAGAGATTTGGGCAATTCAATACGCTTACATTTGGGCAATTCAATACACATATCAATAGACACTTTTTGTCCTCAAGCTCCCTTACCCCTCAAATAAACTTTCTCTCTTAAACTTTCTCTACTACTTTTTTATGCTTGCTTTTTTCATTTTTTAGTTTTTTTTCCTATTTAAGCATTCGTTTCTGTTCGTCGACCACACGCTGATTAGAGTGAAGTTTTTGGTCTTTTGGTTCTTAGAGAAATTTACTTAAATTTGGGCCCGAAGCTTCCATAGGTGGAACAGTTTCTGCAGTTTTTTGCCCTATGACACTTTTGACTTCACATATGTCAGTCCTCGTACTTATTTTCTCTTCTGTGCTGGTCATATTGATCGCATATTTGGTCATATTTGGTCCTGGGATGAAAGCTTTGATCGGAAAGTTGCTCCCTATATCGGTTACTCAGTGACCCTTTTCGGTCGTGCTCCTCTCCAGTGACCCTTGCCTCTCCGAACATCACTGCTATGGGAATTTTTTTTCAAGCCACCGGTATCTGCTGAACGAGTTTGTTTGCCGAATCAATGAGGGCATCCGTTTTGTCTCTTGGTATGGCCGCTAACTTTGGCGTTTGTTTCTCCTTCTCAGTTATTATCACAGCTTCCGGGAGAAGTGCTCTGTTTGGGGCGTTCGCTATATTCATGTCTTTGTCCCCAATTGTCTCCCTGAGATCAAATCTATTTTTACTGTGGTTGACCCCTTTGGAAAACTTTCGAAGCACTAGGTAGATAATTCCGCATGTCCAAGGACTCGACTGTGAACGGCTTCAAAGCCAATTGCTGCCTTTGGTACTCTCTGAAAAATCCAATTTTAGGTGACTGACCCTAAAACTTTTCTAAAGGCGCCTTCGGCGCCAATATTTACTAATTTTGAGGAAGAGCGCGCGCCGAAAAAACGCGATTTTTTGGTCAACATTTTCCAAAATCTGCCGCGGCGCCAAAAAGCTGCGGCGCCAATAGTTACTATTTTTGAGGTGGAGCGCGCGCCGAAAAAACGCGATTTTTTGGTCAACATTTTCCAAAATCTGCCGCGGCGCAGAAAAAGCTGCGGCGCAGAAAATTTTGCCAAAACAGGGACCAAACCGTGCTAAGGGAGAGCTCAAAAAATCAATTCGGTCGCCCTAAAAAAGGTCGACAAAATTTTTAGAAATTTTTTGAAAATTCGCCCCCCTCGAGAAAATCTCATAGATCGGCCCCTGCTTGCACTCGACAGGGTATTAAACTGTACTTATTTACCACACTTCTTATATTTTGTTCAGTTATCCCTGAAGTTGATGTTTTTTTTCTTTGTCTTACCCGCCGAAGTTAGCTTAGATAACGTTTTTAGACCCTCCGACTGCAATTTTTCCGAAATTCTAAAAAACAGTCAATTTCAATTACAGATATAAAAAAAACAGTTTGCGACAAATGATTAAAAAAACAATTGATCAATTTATTGAAAATTTTTCTCCAAATTTCTAACTTATTGAGTTTTTATTGTTTTTTGTGATTTTTAGGAAAATTTTTACGTTCTCGACATTCTTTGATCAAATCGGTTTTTTTTCATTTTCTGAAAAATCTCTTGTTTTTTTTTTTTAATTCTTTTTCATTTCCTCTGTCGATGCTCTGGTAAACCACCAAGTCTTATCAATTTGGGCTTTCAGTACTTTGAAATAACTAAGAAAATGAGTTCAATTTTGAAATAGTTATTGAATACTCTCTCAAATTAGTCGCACTGCATGAGACATGTTACCATTAGAGATGCTATTTTTATTAGGCTGAACAATATTCACCAATTGTGTATTTTGTGTTCATTAATGCCATTAATTGACTATCAAGGTTACTGCTTTCTGACTTCGGCTTCTATCTACCCGGCAATTAGTGTTGACAAAACTATTCCCGAGTTTTTGCTTCCGCCTGTCAAGACCTTTTTAAACAAGGATGTCAAACATGTTTTATGGTTGCTGGTTTTTCCCAGACAAAGTTAAATAAATTGAAGTCCGAAATCTTGGTTGATTAAGTCAAACTGATTCAAACTAGTTCAAATTGTGATCTTGATATTTAACGAAAAAAGGCAACTCGGTTGCGTACACTAGGTAGAGTTTATTTTATCAGGCAAAATTTGCCAAATTTGTTTATCTAAACAATTTTTTTGAAAACTCGACCTAAATTTTTGTGGTAGCTCTCCCTCTAAAACCAGTTTTCTCGGATTTTGTTTGAGATTATGTGCGGCACTATATTTTTTTGATTATAATTACTGAACTTTTGTCGACGGGGGCTAGTTTTCAGTTCACCGCGTAAACTCTTAAACTATTCCGATCGAAAAGACCAAAAAGGGTTATTCCCTAGCTTTGTTCGCGAATAGTCCAGAAAATGAGCTCAGCGTCGTTGAGTGACTTGAATTAGTCGTGGTTTGCTTGCCGTGGTTCAAAAAGTTTGATTTTCAGATTTAAGACAAAATATAATTTTTATTATACCTAAAAGTAAAACTTGGTGCGAATTAGAGTTTTCGTCTTGAGCACCATCCAAAAACTCAATATCGCATCTCAACTCAACCTTGTTTTCTTATTTTTAGACAGGCTTTTGAAAGTTGACAGTTGGACTAGAAACGGTACCAAGGAGACATTAGAAGTTGTCGAGCAATTCTCCACAAATGGGTATGAGACAGAAATTATGATTATATTCCTCGCCAATATAACCGGTGTTGACAAAAATCCTTATCATATTGTTTCATAATAGAAAAAAAATGCTTATCAAAAAACTTTTAAGTATTTTTTTCTACAATTTGTATGAAATAATTTGTATGAAAAAAGCAACATCAAACATTTTTTCCATTCTATGAAATTTTATCACAAGCATTTTTTGCCTCATTCTAGAAATAAATAACACCTTTTTTGCCATTCATTTTATTGCAAAACTTGAGTGAAAATAACAAAAGCAGAAAAAGTTTCGATTGAAAAATCATTTTCATACAATTTCTTTTATTAAAATAGTATGATAAGCATTTTCTATAGACTCAATATATAAATTGTGTGATAGAAATTTTTCTTGTATGGACGCAATCCGGAAGGTTCCGAATCATCTATAAATATCATCATTAGATTCAGGGGCGGATTTAGGGGGGGAGTGCGGTTGCATATCTCCCTTTCAGGGATTCGACCCCCTGCCGACCCGAAGGGTCGCATCTTTGTACTATTTTGAGATATCCATATTTGGTGACAGACCCTACAAAAATTTTCCAAAGGCGCCTTCCGTGCCGTATATATATATACTAATTTTGAGGAGGATTGCGCGGCAAAAAACGCGATTTTTTGGTCAACATTTTCCAATAAGGGCCTAAAAACGCCTTTTTTGGCCTGTTTTTCAAAATTTTGCTTGCGGCGCAGAAAGTTTGATCAAAACAGGGTCCTTTTTGTGCTTTTGGAGAGCTTGGAAATTCACTTTGGTGGTTCTATAACAAAGTCGACAAAATTTTCGAAAGTTTTTGAACATCCGCACCCCCCCTCCTCGAGAAAATCCTAGATCCGACCCTGAATAGATTTATAGCTTTTTGACAAAAACAAAACTTGTGAAACTTGTTGTTAAATGTGCATGCTAACTACAATTGCGATTGCTACAAGAGCGAACTCTTTCTAGTTTCACTTATGACGATGGAATCACGCTGATGAAGCTGAACAAACAACTATCTTCGGACAGAATCATTCCACTATGTACATCCCAACTTCCTCACGGAACCCCGGTAGCCACTTTTGGGCTGGGATCACTATCGAAGGCTGTATTTGAATCTTCAGAATTGCCTCAAAGTCATCTAGCGATGGAAAACATATACTTCGAAAAAGAGTTCAAATCATCTGTAATTAACGACTTTAGTATATGTGAGGATGATCTTTTGTGCATTGGACGCACTTATCAGAGTTGGAGTTCTTGTTTCTATTATTCAGGGAACCCTCTTTATACGCTAGGAAACATTGAAGGAGTGGGTTTCTGTTTGGCCGGTGTTAGCTTGTTTGACAATAGAAAATATCACGTGAATGGTAGAAAATGTCTGTTACACGAAGAAATTGCAAAAATTGATTATTTCAAAGAATGGATGAAAATGTCTATGAAAGAACCGCCGTAAATACACGAATGATGTATGTAATTCATAACGTGCAGATGCTTATAGATATCAGATTGCGAATGTTGAAATTTAAATTTATCTAACGAGATCTGATTAAGTTCTATAAATTTGCTGCCTTCAATTTGATAAGTGGTTTCCGTACCACGTCAGCTTGCAACCAAATACAACTCGTAATAGAATTTTGGTTGAAGATCACCATTTTTGAATTAGGTTTTGCGCTCGCAATATGTTGGCACGACTGGGGAGATGAGTATTTTGTAATATGTCTTTTAAACCGAGATGTCTGTTATTGCAGGTTGTCGCATTACGAGTGGTTTCAGCTGAAATAGACAATCGAATTTTAATCCGCTGGCTTTTATCAAATAAGGAGAATTTGACTATGCTAGCTTCTTAATAATATTTGGATACGCGCCAGATCTTGTTTCAAACGGGATGTCGGAAACTTAAAGGCAATTTCCAAAAACAACAGTAGACTAAAATTGTTGTTTTAAGAAATTAAAAAGAGAAAGCAAAAAGATTTTATGTAATAATTTGCTTATATTGCCAGGCCGCTTATTACAAAAGTGCAGTATATGAAGGGAAGTTGCGTCAAGCAAAATCATTTTGAGGATTTTTTTTAACTAGTGCAGAATTTTCATTTATTAAAATTGCTCTGCGCGCAAACATCTTTGAATTTGAATTATTTTAAAAGGTACATACATAATGCAAAAGCTGGATTATACGCCTGGAGGAAAATCCTGATGAGCCGTACTGCTCGTCGAGCACGATATCCTAGAGAGGTAAAAAAGATAGTCATTTTTTTTATCATTATTTGACTATTATTATTATGATTATACTGTTTTGTGTTTTAAAAAAATAATCTTACCGAAGGTGGCTCAAGAAAATGGCAGTTCGTAAAGGTCCCGATTTTCTTTCAAGTAGGTAATGTTCTATTGCTTACAAAACCTTATAAAGGTGAATTATTGCATTTCATGGTTGTTTCCAGGTTTCAAACCATTTTGTTTTAGGTAAATATGAGCCTCCACTACTCTTAGAGAAAGTGATCTTTATTTGTCAGTTGTCAAAAATTTCGTCATTGCAAGGATGCTGTTTCTGGTATGTATCCAAGTTGTTTGGTATACTTTTGCAAAAAAAAGAACAGTTCTCTTTTTTCGATCGCAATTCAATGAACAGATACTTGAACATTTCGAAAGAGTAACAACCAAAAATGTGAAATAAATTCTTTTTGTCCAATGGACGTTTAATTGATTCGTGTCTACGTTTGGAAAAAATATCGCCCTTACAAAATTTCTTGTAATTTCACAACCTTAGTTAGATAAGACCGCATACAAGCATCTGTTGTTTAGAGAAAAAATTGGCCTTCCGAGCACTGCCTGAATAATCAATGCTTATCACGGCGATTTTTTTCTATGTTTCATATCGTAGTATCATCAGCAAACAGCTCCTTTGATCTGTCAATTATATTCGGTAGATCATTTATCTATAAAAACAAACAGAAATGGCCCAACAACAGATCCTTGAGAGACTCCACTTGCCAAAGAACGTAAGGATGGTCTTTTTTGTCAGTTTGAACAAATTTATACCTGTTTTCAAATGTTTTGAGAAGGCTATGAACAGGACTTTTTAGCCATTTATTTCTAATTTTGTCAAAAGTACATCTTTATTAATAGTATAATTCTCTTTTGAGGTTAACAAAACGAGATTCATCCAAGTATTTTGTCGCACTCATCTCTAATGCATTCAATGAGTTCAAACAAAGCATCAACACTTGCTGTGAAAACTGAATATCCGATTAAGAACAAAAGTTTGCTTCAGGAGCTTAGTAATCTAAATTGTCTATAATTTCGAGCTAGTCTTTCTTCCAACTTTCGAAAACTGGCATGTTTTTTGGCAGTTTTAGGCCATCATTAAAGTAAGTTTTGCACATAAGCTGATTGTCTAAAATTATTTTAGAGTTATCTATGCCAATGTCATCTTCAGCTTCAAAAATGTATGGAAAATGTGTGGTATGCTTTTTTTCATTTCAATACCAAAATCAATATAATCGAGCAAACTCTCAGTAAACGTTTTTTATAACTTTTTTTAAAAAAGAGCCCTGAATGTTTCGAGTGCTTGACACGGGCAAACTCCAAGTTGTCATACTACCTTTTAAAGTGTTTTTTTTTCAAGAATATGACCTAGAAATCAAGAATATGTAAAATTCAGATTTAATCACTTTTTTAAATTTTCAAAGCACAAACATTGATTTCAAATACATAAAGATTTTTCCCGCGGCTAGTTATTCAATACTTGCATAGGTTAAGGCAGTCTCAAAACTATTCGGATTCAATCATGAGCTGCATAAATTTGTTTCCCAAGCTGCTCGTTGTAAGGAAGAAAAATATTTTGCGTGCATTTTTTTTCTACCTCTGGCAAATTTGCTTATTTTGAGTTTAACAAAAATTATAGGCAACTATAGTTTTCGAAAGTTGAGAAAGTTGTGAGCTGATATTATCAAAACCTTTCAGATGGTTGTAATATTTTTTGCCAAAATTTTGATGAAATTTTTCTGGACAAATTTATTACAGCGAAATACGAACAACCGTAATAATCGAAGCCCTAAAATAGACGTGAATATTAAGTTATGACTTCTCGTCGAAAGGTTTGAGGTACTTCTAATTTTTTCTTTAAACACAAAAAATATAAACGTGAAAGTTTTTTTGTTTTTCTATAAAATACACGCACGCAATGTCAAGATTTAATTGATATCGTTTGCGTCTAGTAGCGACACACTGCATATCAAAACACCAACTTCTTTTTGATGGTAGAAATTTATTACATCAAATCTAGTTAAAGAAAAAATTTTTGCCCAAAAAAAAAAAACAAAAACCAGCGTTAATTTTCCCTTTCCTTAATCGTTTTTACTTCGAGAGTTCCCGGTTCGAGATTCCGCTCAAAAACCGCTCAAGATATGAGCGGTTTGAGCGGTTTTTCAGCAAGATTTGAGCGGTTTGAGCGGTTTGGGCGGTTTGGGCGGTTTTTTTTGAAAAACCGCTCAAACCGCTCAAATCTTGCTGAAAAAACCGTTCAAAAACCGCTCATTTCTTGCGGTGATTTTTGAACGGTTTTTCAAGCAAGATTTGAGCGGTTTTAGAGCGGTTTTTAAGCGGTCTTATAAAGAAAACCGATTAAAACCAACAAAAAGGCCTGGAAAGGTAATGTGACCCCGGGTTGACATCCCTAAACCGAAAATGCTTATTTTAAATTTTCCCACACCGAAAAAGCTTATCATACAATTGCCTGCATCAAATGTATGGAAAAATGCTAATCATACAATTTTCATTCAATTTCAAAAAACCATTGAAAAAAGATTCAATCTAGTTTCTCCGGCTATTTGAACCAAATACAACAGTCTGGTGATGAAAAACAACTACGTTTATTTTTTTTTTTGAAAAAAAAAATGGTGATCATACAATTTCCATAAATGAAAATTGTATGATAACCATTTTTTCATGAAAGGCAAGATTTTCAGAAATTGTTCAAACATGTTTATAAACAAATTTAAATTATTTAAGAGTGCTTTTGCTCAATTTAAAGGACATTGCTCATCAAAAACGAAAATTTATTTTGAAGCTAAAAAAATAGTTATCATACAGTTTGCATATATGAAAATTATATGATAACCATTTTTTCATATGAGGCAAGACGTTCAGAATAAAGTTAAAACTTGTTATTAATCAAATTTAAAGTAATTAAGAATGCTTTTGTTCAATTTAAAACACCTTGCTCATCAAAAACGAGATTTTCAAACCAGGTTTTTTGCTCAATTTTAATCCTCACAAATTGTTAATCGTCACAAAAAGACGAGGAAAATTGAAATCTCGAAGATCGGAGCCACGCAGTTCTTCTTCTCCAAAAATGACTAGGGGTAGGTTGGGGTTGGGGTTAGGTTAGGATTAGGGTTTCTTAAAAATTATTTCACAATTTCTGGAAAACAGAATGGAAAATTTAAAAAAAAAAAACAAGTTTCTAGCCACAACAATTCTCTTTGGATCAACTCTGAATAACTGACGCAATATTCGTCTTTGGGAAAACAAAACAGGTTTGTCCATCCATTTATCAAGCGATACTCACAATTAATCACATTTTTTGTTTTTAGAATTTAGGCTAAATAACGGTTTCAAAAGTTTTTTTACTTTGAAATGATATAATTGTCATGATCTTAGAATATCATGATGTCACTGTAATATCAAACATTATCCAGGAGAAATAGTCCAAGAGAAATCACTTTTTAATTATGGATTGTTTTTAACGGAAATTTTGCTGTTTGATTATTATATAATACTGTAAAAATCACCAAATTGTTCATACTGATCAAGTATACAACAATCACTAACCGATTAGTCCAGCTACTACCAACAACGATAGCTGTAATAATATATAATTAATGCTTAAAACCTCGCTTTTACATATATCTCAAGTCAAGTCCTGACCTCTAAGTCATCATTTGGTAACAGGATTGTGGGATTGCCATCAAAGCGATACGAATTCATGCGGAAGAAGACAAAAACAGATGTACGGATATTCTAATTCATTAAATCCTGGCAATTTTGAGGAATTTTGCATGGAGCTGACGTCTTCTAACAGCCATCATCACCAACGACGAAGATTGGACCAATTCAGGATAGCCCCAAAGGAGGCAACTACTGAAGAAAAAGAAGAAAAAAAAACCACTCAAGGGTTGATAGCAGTTATTCTAACATCCAGAGACAGAGAAGATTGTCGAAAAACGGAAGCAGCCATGTCATTTTCATCGACATTGTCTTAGACTAACTGATCAGTTGTTTGTTCGACCATTGAAAAATCAAAAAAACGTAAAACTTTTTTGAAGAGTAGTTGTGTCATAATCTTAGAAAATCCTGATGTCATTGAAGTGTAATATCAAACATTAAACAAGAGAAATAGTTATCACTATGTATATGAGGATTGTTCCTAAAGGAAACTTTGCTGTTTGATTATTTTATAATACTGTAAATATCACCAAATTATTCATACTGATCAAGTATACAACAATCGCTAACCGATTAGTCCAGCTACCACCAACAACGATAGCTGTAATAATATATAAT